AAACTTCTTTTTGTTTGTTTTAAACCTGCTACGTATTAATTTAATGTGGTGACCCCTAGTTCTTATATTGTGGGAATAAGTAAATAACTTTTCCTTATTCACTTTTTCCACACCAGTCATGATTTTATAGACCTCTATCATATGTCCCCTTAGGCTGTGTCTAGACTACAAAGAAAAGTAGGAAAAAGATACGGAAATTGCAAGCTGCAATTTGTGTATCTTTTTCCACCTTTCTTCCAAAAGAGACTTTTCCGACATTTGGCCTGTCTACACTGGGCCAAATGTTGGGAAAAAAAGCCTCTTTCAGAACATCCTTTCTTCCTCGTAGAATGAGGTTTACAGGGATGCTGAAAAAACGCGTCTGCTTTTCCAAATTATTTTTCAGAAAAACAAGCATGGTCTTTGGACATGGCAGAGCTTTTCCGGAATACCTCCAGTGTCTCCTCTTTTCTAAGCTGAAAAGTCCCAGTCTTTTTAATCTCTCTTTAAATGGGACCTGTTCCAAACCCTTAATCAATTTTGTTGCCCTTTTCTGAACCTTTTTCTATGCTAATATATCTTTTTTGAGATGAGGCGATCACATCTGCACACAGTATTCATGATGTGGGCGTACATGTACCATTGTTTTATATAGAGGCAATAAGGTATGTTCTGTTTTAAACAGAATAAAACCTGCAAATTTCTGGAGCTCCAAATTTCCATAAAACCTCCAAATTTCTGGAGCTTCAGCAATAGTACCTGGGAAATTTACGACTCAACAGAACAGAACACTAAAAACCATCCTGCTCTGACAATGTCTTTACTTTAACAGCACTGAAGCCAGTGGAAGGACTCCTACTGATTTAATTAGGTATTGGATCAGGCTTTTTGTAGGAAGCCAGTTGCACCTTTCCCCCTGCATAGTCAGTCAGTGTCCCATTGCTTATGTGAGTGTTTGGGTTAGGTGCATTTTAAAAGGTATATCTGTCTTCATGCTTCAAATTACAAAGCACATGAACTGGGAACTCTCAAGCGGACAGTCCTTAGATTTGTAAATCCGAAAGCTGGGGCGAGTGCATTCACAGTGGGAGGCCTTTGATGCTGGAATTCACTTCTAAACTAACCAAGTCCTGATGAAGGCACTCGTACCTTCCCTGTCCCTGCTATTGGCCCTGGTTTGATCAGAACATAGGATCCAAGAGCGTGCCTGTCCTCTATTCACATAGCAGAGGGAAGGAAACTGCCTTTCCTTTCCAACTCTTTTGAAGCCGGGCAGTGCAACATTACACATTGTAGATGCTGGGTTAATAAAATGATCCAGGTTTGGTTTAGATATGTACAATTAAGTCTACTTTTCCTGTTCACTGAAATAATAATCAATCTTGTTCCTTTCTGAAGTATGCCTCTGTGTCCTATGACTGTCAGTTGTCTTTGTGTGCAGGGCTGTGCTATTCAATGCTGAGTGTACTTTGAATTTAGACCAGTTAAAATGTCGGATATTTCTCTGATGATGTCATTTTCCGAATCAAGTAGCCTTGCAGACAAGAAGCAGCAAATAAAAGCTGAAAAGGAAGATCGATGACTTGCATGTGGTGGATAATGTTACAAAAAAGGAACAGATAAGATGATTCGTGCTGCACTGTGTATCTAAAAAGTGCACAGAAAAGCAAAATTATAATCTTCAGGTAGGGAGATAGGGCCAAGTCCCTTCCATTTGCACCGAGTACAGTAAATTATGCAGAGAGTTTCCATGAGTGAAAGGCTGGAAACTGCTGATTGTTGATGGACCATCCAACATGATGATCAGATGTTATTTCCAAAGCCTGGATAAATTAAATTCTCTGTACCTGCCAAAAATGTAAACTGGCTTGTTGGTGCCAGCAGCTTCTCTTATCACTTGGTAGCCTGTTTACATTTGCTGGCAGATAATCACCATGACTAATGTTTATCTGACACGGACAATTTTTTCCCCCAAAATCTCTTCTCTGACCTTAACCAATTGTGTTCAGAAATGATTAATGAAAATCTCCAAAAGAGTATCATATGCTAAGACATCTCCCAGCCCTTATTATGAACAGAGGGACAATGATTTCTGGAGACACTTTGAAACATAAAAACTAAAAAATTCAGCCACTCCAGAGAGCAGGGCAGAGCTGAAATAGGTCCCTTTTATTTCTGTGCTACAGTCAATGTCTTTATGGCAATTCTCTTAATTTCCTTTCCAATCACTGTATTTGTGGTTGGTATATTTATTTATGAAACTGATCCCCTCTGCTTACAGGGTACTGCACTGTTAAATATCTAAGGGCTCTGCTTTCTAGATAGACAGACAGCCACTTTGTATTCAAAAGCTTCAGAAGGGTAGCCGAGTTAGTCTGTACAGGATAAACTAAAAAAACAACAGATAGTCTGGTAGCACCTGAGGGTACGTCTAGACTACATGCCTCTGTCGCCAGAGGCATGTAGATTAGGCTACCAGACATAGTAAAATGAAGCGGTGATTTAAATAATCGCCGCTTCATTTAAATTTACATGGCTGCCGCGCTGAGCCGACAAACAGCTGGGATGAGGTTTACCTGGGTGGTCAACAAGCGGCTACACGGGGCACGAACTAGGTAGTTCAAACTAGGCTTCCTAGTTCGAACTACCGTTACTCCTCGTGGAATGTCTGGACGCGCGGGTGGCGACATCAAAGGTATTTGTCTACCACCCAGGTAAACCTCATCCCAGGAGGCTTACCTGGGTGGTTGACAAATACCTTTGATGTCGACACCCGCGTATCCAAACTATCGCGCTGAACCGACAAACAGCTGATCAGCTGTTTGTCGGCTCAGCGGGCAGCCATGTAAATTTAAATGAAGCGGCGATTATTTAAATCGCCGCTTCATTTTACTATGTCTGGTAGCCTAATCTACATGCCTCTGGTGACAGAGGCATGTAGTCTGGATGTACCCTTAGAAACTAACAAAACATGTAGATAGTATCATGAGCTTTCACGGGCACAACCCATTTCTTCAGGTGATGAAAGCTCACGATACCACCTACATGTTTTGTTAGTCTTTAAAGTGCTACCAGACTGTTGTTTTTTTAGTTTTTCTTTGTATTCAGTTCAGCACCCCTTGTCAGAGGAGTGGTGCACATTGTAGTCTTTCTTGGTGACTTTACTTTTGTTCTTTCTTGTTTCCTTAGCCTAAAATAAATGTCACTCTGAACACAAGAATGGCCATACTGTATCAGATAAATGGTCCATCTGGCCCAGCATCCAGTCTTCTCATAGTGGCCAATCCCAGATGCTTCAAAGGGAATGAATAGAAGAGCACATCTATCAAGTGATCTTTCCCCTGTTCTCCAGTCCCAGTATCTGTCAGTTAGAGGCTTAGGGACACCCAAAGAATAGGATTGCATTTCTGCCCATCCTGGCTAATGTCCTCCATGGACTTATCTAATTATTTTTAGAACCCATTTATAGTTTTGGTCTTCATAATATGCCCTGACAAATTCCACAGGTTGACTGTGCATTGTGTGGAGAAGTATTTCTTTTGCTGTTTTTTTTTTTAAAACTTGCTGCCTGTGAATGTCATGGAGTGACCCTTATTCTTGTGTTATGTGATGGGGCAAATTACATGTCCTTATTTCCTGTCCTCACACCATTCATGATTTTATAGACCTCTATCATATCTAGGTGACCAGAGAGTAAATTTGAAAATTGGGACACTTGTTTTGGGAGGGGGGAAGTGGAGAGTATATAAGACAAAGCAGTAAATATTGGGATGATTCCAATAATATTTGGACCTGTTGTCATCCTAATCACATATCCCTTTAGTTGTTTCATTTCCAAACTGAACAATCTTTTTAATCTCTCATCATATGGAAGCTGTTCTATACTCCAAATAATTGTTGTTGCCCTTCTCTGTATCTTTTCCTTTTGGAGTATAACCTTTTAGAGATGGGAGGACCAGAACTGCACACGGTATTCAAAGCGTGGGTATACTATGAATTTGTCTAGTGGCATTATGATATTTGCTGTCTTATTATCTATCCCTGTCTTAGAGGTTCCTAAATTTTGGTTCACTATCCTAAGGAATTAACTTGGGGTGCCCCATTTTGAAAGTCAACACAAAATCGTGATTGGAATGAATATAAAAAGAATATTGTCAAGCTTCTCGCAGCATCTAGTAGGACCCTGCACATAAATGTTTGCAGGAGTTAGGCCACATGGCATACCACAGAAGGAAAAGTCCATTTTATAGCAATGTATCTAGCCACTCAGTTATTGTTCAGATTGCCCTGATGTCACAATGAGGGGCAAATGCTTCGTAAAACTCAAAGAGCCACATTCATGCAGGAATTTTGTTTCATTCATGCAGGAAGTTGTCTTAGCTCCTGAGCTCGTCCATCACTTACACATACTCCCTCAGAGTATGTCTACACTACCCCCCTAGTTCGAACTAGGGGGGGTAATGTAGTCATACGGAGTTGCAAATGAAGCCCAGGATTTGAATTTCCCGGGCTTCATTTGCATAAAGCCAGCCGGCGCCATTTTTAAATGCCGGCTAGGTCGGACCCCGTGCCGCGCGGCTACACGCGGCACGGACTAGCTAGTTCGGAACGTGGAACGAGGCGTACAGCTAGTTCGGATTAGGCTTCCTAATCTGAACTAGCTAGTCCATGCCACGTGTAGGTGCGCGGCATGGGGGTCCGACCTAGCCGGCATTTAAAAATGGCGCCGGCCGGCTTTATGCAAATGAAGCCCGGGAAATTCAAATCCCGGGCTTCATTTGCAACTCCGTATGACTACATTACCCCCCCTAGTTCGAACTAGGGGGGTAGTGTAGACATACCCTCAGAGCTCCATCTAGGTGGTGGGTGCTTTGAGCTCACTTGTCTAACTCGGTCAGAAACAACATGGCAGGAAAGCAAGGAAGACAAGCTTAGCAGAGCAATTCTTAAGTCTTTGACTCTACTCTTAATGCATCTGAGAATGACAGATCTTTGAAGGTAATGAAAGTTTTGCAATGTACCTTTCCCTAGTCTGGGCTCACCCTTCTGTGAGGCAGTGGTTCTTTACTTATGGTGATCAGTTTCTCCTGCCAGTTTTTCTTACAGGAGTTGATGGAAGGAAGCTAAAAGCAAAGGAAGGACAGAAAAATCAAATGTACAACTACAAAAATGTGGAATAACTGACTCGTTAAGGACTACTTAGAAAAGCTGGACATGCACAGGTCCCCGGGACCATATCTATTGCATCTGAGGATGCTGAGAGACTGGATGATGTGATTGCAGATCCATTGGCCATTATCATTGAAAACTCATGATGATCGGGGGAGGTCCCATTTGATTAGAAAAGGCAAATGTAGTGCCCATCTTTAAAAAAGGGAAGATGGAAAATATGGGGAACCACAGACTAGTCAGCCTCACCTCAGTCCCAGGAAAAATCAGGAAAAAACATAGGGCAGTTTCTCAAGGAATCTATTTTGAAACATTTGGAGAAGAGGAAGGTGATCAGGAACAGTCAATATGAATTCACCAAGGGCAAGTCATTCCTGACCAACCCAATTGCCTTCTATGATGAGATAACTGGCTCTGTGGATATGGAGAAAGTGGTGGATGCAATATACTTTGACTTCAGCAAAGCTTTTGATACAGTCTCCCACAGTATTCTTGCCAGCAAGATTAAGCAGTATGTACTAGGTGAATGGACTATACGGTGACTAGATCGTCAGGCTCAGTGGGTAGTGATCAACAAGTTGATGTCAAGTTGGCATCAAGTGGTATCAAGTAGAGTGCCCCAGCGATCAGTCCTGGGGCTCATTTTATTGAATATCGTCATTAATTATCTGAATGATGGGCTGGATTGTACTCTCAGCAGGTTTGAGGGTGACACTACGCTTGAGGGAGAGGTTGATATGCTGGAGGATAGGGACAGGGTCCAGAGTGGACTAGACAAATTGGAGGATTGGGCCATAAGAAATCTGATGAGGTTCAACAAGAATCCCATGCACTGCTACAGGCGGGGGACCAAATGGTTAAGTGACAGTTCTGCAGAAAATGACTCAGGATTACAGCAGATAAGAAGCTGGATATGAGTCTACCATGTGCCCGTGTTGCCAAGAAGTCTAAAAGCATACTGGGCTGCATTTATAGAAGCTTTGCCAACAGATCGAGGGAAGTGATTATTCCCCTCTATTTGGCACTGGTGATTATTCCCCTCTATTTTGACATCTGGAATATAGCATCCAGTTTTGGGGCCTCTACTGCAGAAAGGATGTGGACAAATTGAAGAGAATCCAGTAGAGGGCAACAAAAATAATTAGGGGGTTGGGGCGCATGACTTATGAGGAGAGGCTGACAACAGCCTTCAACTACCTGAAGGGGGGTTCCAAAGAGGACGATGCTAGACTGTTCTCAGTGGTGACAGATGATGGAACAAGGAGTAATGGTCACACGGTGCAACGGGAGAGGTCTAGGTTGGACATTTGGAAAGACTATTTGATTAGGAGGGTAGTGAAGTGCTGGAATGGGTTACCTAAGGAGGTGGTGGGATCTCCATCCTCAGAGGTTTTTAAGACGAGACTTGACAAAGCTCTGGCTGCGATGAATTAGTTGGAGTTGGTCTTGCTTTGAGCAGGGGGTTGGACTAGATGACCTCCTGAGGTCTCTTCCAATCCTAATCTTCTAGGATTGATTTTATGGAAAGCAGGACCGGTAGTTGCAAAACACACTTTCCTGAGTGTCTCAGTTCTTCCTAATTGTGTTTCTACAGGAAGCAGATTCCCCGGGAGCAGGGGTGTTTTTTTAAAATACCAGATAAAATATCCTGCGCATTAGAAGGTTTTAAATACATTTTTATGCCAAATAGGTCCACCTGGCCTCCATATGGAATCTGACAATAACTCACCAGAGACAATGTTTCTTTTGACACAACAGTTTCAATTGCCATAGAAGCACAGCTTTAAACTGTGGCTGGGACCTCCGACAGTTGACATTGTCTTGGGGATACACTGAGAATGGCTGTCCGTTTACAGCTCGAACCACCTGTTTTTGTAAGGCACAGGCAACCTATAGGTCTGCGGGTGGGTTTGCTGTCACAGGTGTCTTCCAAATGGCTTTCTCAGCATTGGTAGACCTTCATAGAATCATAGAACCATAGAACCATAGAGCTGGAAGAGACCTCAGAAGGTCATCAAGGACCAAACCCAACTATATCAACCCAGCCAGGGCTTTGTCAAGCCGAGACTTAAACACCTATAGGGATGTAGACTCCTCTACTTCCCTAGGTAACCCATTCCAGTGCTTCACTACCCTCCTAGTGAAATACCTGGGCCTCTCCCACCACAACTTGAGACCATTGCTCCTTGTTCTGCCATCTGTCACTACTGAGAACAGCCTCTCACCATCCTCTTTGGAACCTCCCTTCAGGAAGTTGAAGGCTGCTATCAAATCCCCCCTCACTCTTAGCTTCTGCAGACTAAACAGACCCAACTCCCTCAGCCTCTCATATGCTCCAACCCCCTAATCATTTTGGTTGCCCTCCGCTGGACCCTCTCCAATGCGTCCACATCCTTTTTGTAGTGGGGGGCCCAGAACTGGACACAATACTCCAGATGTGGCCTCACCAAAGCCGAATAAAGGGGAAT